TCATACCGTAATATTATAACATCTATTTGTACTCAGTTCAACTTAACAGCTATTTATTGAGCATTTTCTTTGTGCAAGGCAGAAGGAAGCAATGGTAAGCACTAAGACATGGTCTTGGTCCTCCAGGACCTACAGTACAACATAGCAGTAGGAGGCAGATGTGTAAATGAGCCTAAGAGGAGAGGCGTGGGTACCGTAACAAGTAGTGGCATCCAGCAAGGACTAGGAGCCTAAGGAAGGTTGCCCAGATAAGAGAGAGTCCTAGATGGGAACTTGGAGAGATGTTGTGCTGAACCCCTATTAACTTCAATAGGGAAGGCAACAGGTTCAAGAGGCCGAAAGAGACCCAGAGCCAGCAAATGAGACATGGGGTTTCATTAGGGGCTTACATACAGAGGAGGGAGTCCAGTGGCAGTGGGCTGGGCAGGAAAACAACCGCTTGCAAACACCATGCAATTTATGTGGCATTTTCACTTAAGCCCTCCCCTCAATGACCTCCACCTGGCAACCTTGATTTAACTCAAAATTCAGGGCCTCAATTCCCTGTGAGGCTCTTGTTCTACAGGACAGGCTGGGCAAGGGCTCAGATGTTCTTTTTTTTTTTTTTTTTTTTTTTTGAGACAGAGTTTCACTCTTGTTGCCCAGGCTGGAGTGCAATGGCGCGATCTCGGCTCACCGCAACCTCTGCCTCCTGGGTTCAGGCAATTCTCCTGCCTCAGCCTCCTGAGTAGATGGGATTACAGGCACGTGCCACTTGCCCAGTTAATTTTTTGTATTTTTAGTAGAGACGGGGTTTCACCATGTTAACCAGGATGGTCTCGATCTCTTGACCTCGTGATCCACCCGCCTCGGCCTCCCAAAGTGCTGGGATTACAGGCGTGAGCCACCGCGCCCGACCCTCAGGTGTTTTTTGTAGACAAGAAACAAATCTCTGGGTTGGACAGGCCTGGATTCCCTAGTTCAGAAAACACACTCAGGTCCATCTGTCACACAGGGTCATTGTAAGGGTATGCTTTAATTATTGCGGTCAGGTGCATTTACCCTACAGGGGAGCATGAGTAAGTCAAGTGAAGAAGGCGGCAGGGAAGGGTGTTCCTGGGGGGAACATGTGCAGGGCCCTAATGGCACAAGACAGCATGGCATGTTCTCAAAATGAAAATTGCAAGGGGTTTGTGAAAAGAGGGGGTTCTGGTGAGAAAGACAGGGCTGTACACCCACATAAGCCCCGTAAAGGGAGACTGGTTCTAAGGATCACTGAAGGAAGCCTCACAATCAGATTTAAATTCCAGCAAGCACTTCCCAGTTGAAGTAGTGAAGACAGGTTGTGAAGTGAAGCAGGAAGATAAATCGGGGAGCTGCGGCAGTAAAGTAAGCAAGGGCTTAGGTGATAATGGTAAGTTTATCTAGAGAAATGGCAATGAGAATGGAGAGAAAGTGAACAGATTTCAGAGGTGCAGGGGGTAGAATCAGCAGAATTGAATTCGAGGAGGGATGGGAAAGTCAGGGGTGAATCAGAGATGACTCACCCCTAGGTGTCTGGCTTAGACCATAAGAAGCAGGGAGTCAGGAAGCCTCATGCTACTCCCTGAGACAGAAAACATAGGAACAGCAGCAGGTATGTGGTGGGGGGGAAGAGGGAGGTGGCCAGGAATGATGGGACCTGTTTGGAATGTATTCAGTCTGAAACGCTGACCTCAGCCTGGAAAACACCCTTACATACAAATGTGAAGCTTTCAAGAAGTCTTTCATTATCAGGTGTAACTTTCAGACCTAATTTTCTCCCAAAGCCAAGTATCTGTTGTGAAAGACCGATTCCTCTCATCCTGAGCCCCCTAGCTCTTCCTGCGACCTTCTCTTGGGGACCCATACCTTTTTACTTGGTTTAGAGTTACTTATGTTGGGATTCTCTCACCTCTCAGCCAGGCAAGCTCCTTATAGGAAAACCCAGGTTCGATTTATCTTTGTCCTCCTCACAGCACCAAGAACCCTGCCCTGCACAAGGCAGGTACTTAAAATACTTGTTAAATGAATAAATGAGTGCGTGAACCAAAGAAACAGCTGCCTGAAGACATTGTGTAGCTGACCTACCCAATACAGCTTTTATCAGCAGGAAACGGGCAGCTCCTTAATCTCCTTAGTGAAATGACTGTAGTTCCAAGGAAGTAAAATAAATTTATTCCCAGTGCTTGCAAGAAGATTCTGTTCTTACAGAGAAAATTCAGACAAGAGCAATCACCTTTTCCATGACGGGGCGAGGTGGCCAGGCCAGAAGCACACATTAAAGCCAGAGGCTGTGTTAACGTGGAAGGGATAAGGTGGGCGAGGATGTCCTCAGCACATAACACGCTCTCATCACAAATGCGATGCTCAAGCCTTGGAAGGGCTAGAAAGCATCTCGGATGCAATACAGCAAAGCGATGTACCATACCACCTACAAAACAAGGTGACAGGGGCCAGCCTCGCTGCCAGCTCCAAGACCTCCAAAATTTGGAGAACTAAGAGATTTTCGGTAAACTATTATATAAAAAGCATTTTCACATGCTAAAGGTATAACAATTATCTACCCCTGAGCTCTCTGAGGACACAAAAGGCACATTTCGAGTAGGGTCCTGGTGGTGCTGAGGTTAAAATCCTGCCAAGCATTTTGTAATGGTCCATGAGCCCACCCCACCACCCCAGCTCCAGGAATAGGTGGCATATTTAGGGATACGAGAAGGCAGAAACTCGGGAAATTCCCAGGAGAAAAATGATACCGGGGAGGGAAGACCGAGGTCCTGCAAAATCCCCTCAAGGTCCTCCGCGTCGTTTGCTGTGCAGATTTGGGGCGGGAGAGGGGATACCTGCTAAGCAACGCGCCTTATATTTCTGCGGTTGTGTAAGAAAATTCAGAGCGGGAATGTCTCCACTGAGGGATGCACAGCTCACCTGCAGCCCCGAGCCCTCACTGCAGCTGAAAAGACAGACGTCCGGGACCAGCTGCCGGCAAGCACGATGCTTGGAGACCGGAAGCAGTCTCCGCGCCAGCGCGGCCCCACCCTCTGCCCCGCAGTCTCGCGCGGAGCGGAGGCCGCTCCCTCCCGGAGACGCCCTTCCCGCCGCGCATGCGCCGTGTCCTTTCTCGCCTTGCAGTGCTCTGCGCTGCCCAGCTCTTCGGCGGAATCGGGGCGGCTGGTAGGCTAGGCAGCCTGGAGCCCCCGTGCTGTAACGCTCCGGCGGCAGCCTGACCCATTGCTTCGTCTGTCCTGTCTTCGGCCCTGTCCTGGAGTCAGGACTGGGGTTTGCTGCCTCCCGCCTGACGAATTGGGACTGGCAGGAAGTGTGTCTGCATACAGCCAAGATGACAGAAGGCGAAGATATTTAAGTGACTCCATTCAAGGGACATTTCCAGGACCTCTAAAAGGCAACCTGAGGTCTTTTACATACCCTCCAGCAGATTGCTCCATTGTCAGTGGAGGGAGTTAAGACAGTGAGGTTAGGTGATTTAGTTGTCTACGGTCAGAATCCGAGTTTGCCTGGTTTCAGAGCCCGAGCACCCTTTATTACACTATGGGATCATCTAGATGTGGTTGGAAGATCAGGATCCTGTTTTAAACTTCAGGCCCAGGATTTGCCGGGCTTAGCTATCTACAAGGAAAGTATAGAATTCCAGAGTTGGAAAGCACTTAAAATCTTGTCTAGGCCAATGCAATCCGCTCAATCCCAGAAATGAACCTTAAATTGACTTTTTGATACAAGATCTCAGTTGGTCGTCCAGGCTGGAGTGCAGTGGTGCCATCTCAGCTCACTGCAACCTCTGCTTCCCAGGTTCAAGCGATTCTGCTGCCTCAACCTCTCAAGTAGCTGGGATTACAGATGTGTGCCACCTCACCTGGCTAATTTATTTTTATTTTTGTCGAGATGGGGTTTCGCAATGTTGCCCAGGCTGGTCTTGAACTCCTGAGCTTGAAGCAATCTGCCCGTCTCAGCCTCCCAAAGTGCTGGGATTACAGTTTAAATTGACTTTAAATTATGCCTCCCTGTAACAACTTATCTCATTCTTTTTGCCTTCTTGATTGAATGCATAACTCCAACCCTCTTCCTTATGTTACAGCTCTTCAGAGATATGAAGAACACTGTCATATCATACATAGGAGTGTAACAGCTCTAAAGATTCTGTCTCTAAGAATTAGAGCAGAATTCCTCAGGAAAAAAAAAAGAAGGAAACTCAAAGATTACATCTTGTGAAGTTTGTTTGCTACATCTATTCCTGTGCATAAAAGTGCTTCAAAGAAGTAATGTAACTACATCTAACTTATGAGAAGTGTGCGTGGGTCCTGGGGAATTAATAACATTCCTGAAGATTCACAGAAGAGTTGATGGCAAGGCACTGGAATGTGGCATGAACAAAGTGATAGCCTGAAGTTTGGTTCTGAGTTCTCCCAGCACTCCTTCCCATCCCCTTCTATGCCCATCCTTACCCCAGCCTCCTCCCCTTCTCTCCTCAAACTCTCAAAACACTGCCTATTTGGAATAAAACTAAAACCTTCTTGGAATGCTTCAGTATCTTTGCCTGCTGTGACCTGGGTAAATAATTCCCCCTGGACCTCAGTGCCCGGATTTAAGATATGGCCAAGACTAGATGCTCTGAGATCCCTTCCACCCTGCCACTAACACATTCGAAGCTGGAAACAGCCTCATGATGTTCCTACTCAAGGTGTATCTCCTAACCCTAAAGAAAAATCGCTCTAGGAGCGTATATTATGGGAGTTCCATTCCCTTGAATATGTGGGAACAGGATGATTCTTAGGCAAAGGGACCGCTGCCCTCTCAACTCAAAGGCACTAGCTGCTGCCTTCTCCAGCTAATGGAAAGGCTGCAGCCCAAGGTAAGGATGCAGGCAAGCCAATTCCCCATAACCATTTCACAGAGCTTTCTATGCATGATCCACAGCAGAGACTCCTAGCTTTCAATGTGACACTAACCCCTTTGGCAGCCTGGAAAAATGCACAAAATACATAGGATTGCAAAGGAAGTCAATTTTATTGAAATGCAGTTATCAAATTGTTGAACATTTAAATCTGTATGTGCTTCTTTATTAACATATTAAAGATTATAAGACCTAAGAGGTGGATCTAATTATTACTATAATTTCAAAGTAGTGTTGCACCTATTTTAAGGTATCCGTAACATGGATATTTGTGATTCCTAGTGATGAGAGAGACACAGGTACTAATACTGCTGTGGTTTGTTGCCTATTTTCCTAATGGAAAGAAATAAAAACTTCTTTTTCCCATAGAGGTTTTCAGATTTCCTGATTGCTATCCTCAGGCCCCTTTAGATTCACATATCCCCATTTAAGAACTCCCAGTCTATAGTAATGCAAGTTTTCCTAAGTTGTACATAGGTGGAATCAGAGAAGGGGAAGCAAACAGAAGAGCCTCACTGACTGACAGACTGGCTGGCTGCTCAGGCAGGGCCTCAAGGATGGTTACACCCTATGGATCCGGAGCCTGCTCCTCATTTTCAAATGTTCAGAAACTCAGTTTGTCTCAGTTCTTCCAGGAGCACCCTGGCTTTTGAAAGACAGATTCATAAAAATCAAAGTCACAAGGGACTTACTGATTTTCAGGTCCACTTCAGATTCTTGATTTTTCTCCTTTCAGATCCCAAACAATGTCAAATGACATTATTCTTATCCTTTGAAGATATGATCTTATGGCAGCCTAACATTTTAGCATCTTTTCTGTGGCTCACTGCAATGGCAGCATCTTGTAGGCACACGTCTAAAAATGTTATCACCTTCCATTTCTGTGAAGTCAAAAATCTCCTTAAGTGCTTCTGCACTTCTTGAGAAAACTGAAAAGTAACCAAAAGCTTTTCATTGTTTTATTATAAAAGTCTCAACATTGCATTTAAGCAACTCGCATCCCTTTGTAGCAGTGTTGTATGTAAGATGTATGAGGCATTGAATGGATAAGATCTTTTCATTTTCTTTGTAAGAAGTTTGTAGACTGAATGGAATTTGCCAACATTTACATATGTAAATCTATCATGAAGATAGACAGACTAATTCTAGTTTGTATTTAGATAAAATATCAACAGTAGTTTGTGATTTCAGCAGTTTCATTAAAATCCTCATAGAAATGAAGAGATGACTTGAAACTCCTGTTTTCAAGTCAAGTACCTAACAGAGGGAACATATTTTTGCTGCCATAATTCGGCTTATTACTTAAAACTGATATACTATAGAAAGCAGAATTGTTGGTGAGGTATGACAGGCTGGCCTTACACTGTAAGAGGCCAACACATCTGTTATCAAAATTTCTCCTAGTTTGCCCAGAGGCTATTTTAGCTGCAATCCCTGAATCAGGAAATGAAAGCTTACTCAGTTTCATAGAGCAGTCAAGGGAATGCTGCAACAAGGCATGCTTGTCCGCCTGGTATGCCCAAGCTAATTCAGCAGCTATTTTTGACTGAGCATTGGTATCTTTTGGAGAAACCAAAGTATTTTTGATTGGTTTAGAAGCATTCACTTGTCCCATCTTACTGGTGAGATTTGGCCTCCAGATGTGCTTTCACATCCCTTCTCCATCATGTCCAATCTCAAGTTTTTTTCTGTGTATTATGCAGTATGCTCCGTTTTGGTTATTTACCTTCCTAATAATTTGTGTCCTTCCATCCATCATTAAAAGGACATAGTCATTTAGTGTTCTTCAGTGATGGGGTCATGGTTGCATTGGTATTATAATCATTCTCATTATCTGACCTCTTAGAAAACATGGTCACAATATTCACAATGTTAAAAAATTAAACTGGCACTATCTTGTTACAAAGCACATCAATTAATCTGCAGGCAAAGTCAAAGATGAACTGTTAATATTCATTATATACACTTAAGCCACATCACTTTGAATGATGCAACATAGATGGATGACCATTCTGAACTACAAATTATGTGTGCCAGTATCAGTGGCCAAATGGGTGACAACAGTAAAGATGATGGACAATCTGTGCCATAACCCTTTGATACTAAAGACAATGTTGCTTTCAGCCCCTCTAAAACTTATGGATTTTGTACATTTCCTGCAGCCTTCCACACTTGTTGCCAAAACCAGGATTATTCACATTCCAGGGATGGGTTTCCCAGGACACAATGCTCTCAGAGCTAAAATTGGGATTGCTGCTTACCCTATTGGGTCGCCATGAACCCAAGGGCTACCTCTCCAGAGGTAGGAGAGGAGGCATATGGAGCTAGAGACTCCTCACCCCGCTTCCACTAATGGTGTTAAACTTCTCCAGAATATTTCTCACGGGTTCCTCTTCTTTAAGGGGTGATGAAAACAAGACGTTGTCTTTAGTTAGACTTCAGATTTACTGAAAGCTCAATGGCTTCCATCTGGAAACACAGGCAAAGTTCAGGGCCAATGCCTTCCCCTGGCTCAGGTCCTAAAGGAAACTCAGAAAAGAAAGCCATCCAAAGGCAAGAAAGGAGGAGAAAGCAGCTCCACTGACAACTCCACCAGCCAAGGAAGAAAGAAAAAAGCATCTACGGGTGGCCGGTTGGGAGCATAAACCACATCCTGGGGAGAAACTCACCTCCCAAACTCACCAAAGTGTTTCCTTACCTTCTCCTCAGTGGCTTTGGGGGTTCAGATGCCCTGTAAAGATTTTCTTCACAGCATATTTCTTCATGACAGTGGCTTTTTGGGGGTCCATGCTATGGCCACCCACCTGTGCTCCTGATCTAGGATCTGTTCCAACAGAAGGGTAGGTGGATCAATCATCCAGATTTGCCAGGGACTAAGGGGTTTGGGGACTTTCAGGGCTAAAACCAGAAATGAGGAGTTTCCTAGGAAGCAGGACTGTCAGAGCTATAACCACAACTAAGGGATTTCCCAGAATAAGAAACTTTTAGCATTAAAATGGGATGGTGCGGTTTCCCACAATGCAAGACTTTCAGTGCTAAAACGTGGACAATTTCTTCTGAGAAGGGGTTAGGTAGACTCTGGTTCTAATTCTCATTGGCACTTCTTAGTAACATCACTTGAGGCTGGTTCCTTATTTCTGAGCCACAAGATTCCATTACAGGTGGAATATACAAAATACAGGTACCCAAAATATTTCACCCCTCCAAACACACTACCCTCTACCGAAGCCAGACTTCCCAATTTCCTCCAAAACAGAAATCCACCTGGTTTACCTAAACACATAGAAATCAGTCCTCACTCCCTCGGAGCCCTTATCCATGCTTTGAGTTTTCTTCCTGGCCTGACAGGCCCAATCTAAGACTTGCTTCCTCCAGACGTAAAGCTGGGCTGCTGGGGTTGGAATCCTTGATGTTCCGCCCTCTACTATGTGGTCTCTTTTACTTACTTAATCCTCTCTGCATCGTAGTTTTTTCCTCTGTGAAATGGCACCGAAATGCCTATTTCCAGCATCTTTGGGTGGGTTTTTCTAATTCTTATATGCGAAGCATTTAGTGCAGGGGCCCAAACAGGCACAGAAACAGGTACTAAGCCTCCACTCTCCTCTTCCTGGACCACTCCAGCCCATAGATTTAATACTTTTCACTCCCCACTAATCATGAACACGTTCTTGAACTCTGCTTCCCCCAGCGCACTTGGCCACATGCAGCTCAGACATGATCAGGAATGCCTTCTCTTAGAAATCCAATCCCGCAGGCACAGAACTTTGATGGAATACACAGCTCACCTTCTCTGTAGGAGCTGCACCTCTTGGTCTTCCAGTGTTGGGATTCATTTTGGGGGGATGGCCAACGACCGCTTCAAATGTGGTAAAATAGTCTTTAGGGTCCTTTTTGCTGGTATCCCAGCTCTGGTTCATTAGTGAGAGGAATGGTAGAGTGAGACACATGGCCACGAGAAGTCTTACGAAGAAGCCATGGGCTTATAAAGTCTTACAAGAAGGCCAAGAGTTTAGGAGGACTGGATTTCCCAAAGCTTTCGCTGGAAGGATTACATATAAAGCCACCACCCACGGCAAAGTGTACACCCACCCACCCTGAGTCTGCAAAGATTCTACCTTCGACAGCTGTTCACAAATCTCTACCCCGCTACTGAGATCCACTTTGGCCCTAACAGAACTTACCCCCACCACAGATCCCCAGGCTGGGAGAGGAAAAGGAAAGGCGACCTCACGGGGCGCACGCCCCACGCAGTGGTCACAACTGTTGGTCTACATACTTTCTTATTAAAGGGCTGCCGTCTCTTCTATCCCGATCTTCCCCGGCGCCCAGGAGTCGCTCTCAAGGAACTCGGTTTTCTTGGGCAGAGCCCGCGGTCAGAGCATGACTCCGAGCCCAGGTGGAGGTTAGGGGAGATGAGGAAGCGAGGGGAAGCCTCGCCCGGGTCGGAGCGCACACCCTCCTCCGGAGTCTCCGCTCCCCCCGGGCGGCTCCCGGACGACGTCGATCCCACAGGTCCCGCCACCTCCACAGCACCTCCCCCGCGTCCTCCTAGTTCTTGCCGCCGTTCCTCTGTCCGCCCTGGCGCCGTTCTGGCCCCAGCCTGGCGACCCGCCGTCGGGGGCGGCCTCGTGTGCGTTCTCGGTGGCGCCTGTTGTCCGCAAGAGCTTCTTCCTCTCCCTTGCTTCTGACACACCCAGCAGGCCCACAAGAGTCCCAGCGTGAGACAGTCCCGGCTCCGCGGGAGCAGTGGGCGGATTTTATAGGGTCCGAGTTGGGGGGTGGACCCACCTTGCCCAAATTACATGCTCATTGGCTGATTTTGCCTGACACTCAGCCATGCACCGCTGTCCCATTGGCCGCGGTCTAAATCCCGGCGGGCTGGTCCTCTAGCGGTGTCTCGGAGCCAGGGCCCTGCGGAGGGTCCCAGTGATCCCGCGCGAGGACCGCAGGTGCAGGCCCGAGGCCAAGAGGCTCCCATGCGCCCTCCTCTCGCGGAGCCCGAAGCCTCTCGCCCCCGCGCGCCCGTGGCCAAAGTGAAAAATAGCCAAGACAAAACAAGTTCACATCCCAAAAGCAAAACAGCCAAAAAGAAATTCAAGGAAAGCAAATATAAATGAGAAAAATATATAATTAAGCAAAAATGAATGTCCACGAAGGCAAGACAAAAAACTAAGCAAAGGAGTAAGTTCAAAGAAAAGATAAAACGTGAGTATAATTTAGGATATTTATACAGATTCCTACTGAAATCTCGACAATTAAAATTTTACTATCAAACTTTCATCATTCTTGCCTTTCCTATGAAAGGGCAGCAGGGGGCACCAGATACTAGGGTTTCATTCAGCTAGCACAGGCGTTTTAGCAAGTTGGTTACAGTCACCAAATAGTGTTCTCTTAGAGTTCACAGATAGTTATAAAAGTTAACAGGAAACGGGGAAACCAGAGTGATGGTCTACAATCAGGGATGTTCAAGAGACAGAATACAGTCATGAGTTCTTAGTTTCTGTTTCTGGCTGGGCCAGTAAAGCCCCTTCCTCGTCCCTCTTTTTAGTTTGTCATTAGAGACAGATACTAAAAGCTGTAACTCAGGCTGCTAAAAGCCTAAAACAAAACAAAACAGAACAACGAAATAAGGTGGGTTGGACAAGCTTAGTACATAGAAGAATGTGCGAAAAAGGTATATGATTTCTGTACCCCCTGTTGGCTAAGGAGTACAATGTCCTGAAATATTGGGAGGGTGGCAATTACAAAACATAAGGGGACGTTTTTCAGAGGTGGGCTCAGAAAAAGATGCAGCACAGTGGAGAGTGACCACTAGGGCACCAGGCTGACTCTCTGACCTTAGCCTGCCATCTGGACCCATTTTGAACTTTTACCAAAGACATGGGACTTCCCAATTTAAAACCAGAACTGAGGCTTTCCCAGACAGGGGACTTTCCTATAAGCAATAATGGTTACAATGGCAACAACCAACAACTAATATTTAATGAGTGCCTATTGTGTGCCAGAAACTGTTCTAAGCATTTTACAAGTATCAACTCTCTTAATATTCACAACAACGCTTGAGGTAGACACTCTATTCTCCCTATCTTACAGAGGAGGAAGCTGAGGCAACTCACCAAAGGTCATGCAAACAGCTAAGAAGTGTCAGATCCAGGTTTTTGTTTGTTTGTTTTTGTTTTGAGATGGAGCCTCACTCTGCCGCCCAGGCTGGAGTGCAGTGGTGTGATCTCAGCTCACTGCAACCTTTGCCTCCCAGGTTCAAGTGATTCTTGTGTCCCAGCCCCCCGGGTAGCTGGGATTACAGGTGTGCACCACCATGCCTGGCTAATTTTTGTATTTTTAGTAGAGAAGGGGTTTCACCAGGTTGGCCGGGCTGGTCTCGAACTCCTGACCTCAAGTGATCTGCCCACCTTGGCCTCTCAAAGAGCCGGGATTACAGATGTAAGCCACAGTGCCCTGCCTAGATCCAGGTTTAAGAAAAGTGTATGTGTGCAGACTCTGCTGTCATTCTGTCCAGGTTTAAGTCATAGCTCCATCACATTAAGAATATCCACATTATTAATACGGGAAAACGCATAACTAGCACATAGGAGATATGTGCTATATGTAATAGCAGATACAATAATAATGTCAAAATAGTATTTGCCATTATTATTAAAAGAGTTGTTCCTGCTCTACAAATCTTAAAATTTAGTGAAAGAGGTTCATACATGTCACAAAGCAGTAGAGGTGCTTATTGGATGGGTTAATGGGATAGATAATAAATGCATAGAAGCATTCAAAAGAGGAAGAGTTGTGAACGAGCGCGGTCAGGTTGGGCCACAGGTATTCAATGTGGCACCCACTTAAAATTCTGCCTGAACATTCTGCATGTCACCATTAGAAGACAGCTTCTGTTTCTCAATGGCTTAAGCTAATTATTACAGACTTAGTATTTGATACTTAGTATTTGATACACCTGCAGGTGTATGTTTAACTAAAATATAATCTTTTTTGTTTTATTTTAAAAGACAGGGTCTCACTCTGTTGCCCAGGCTGGAATGCAGTGGCAAGATTACAACTCACTGTAGCCTCAAATTCCTGGGCTCAGGTAACCCTCTCAGCTTAGCCTCCCAAGTAGCTGTAACTGCCACACCCAGCTGAGATGATCAGGCATTTGTATCATTTACTAATTATTTTGGGACGGAGTTTCGCTCTTGTTACCCAGGCTGGAGTGCAATGGCACGATCTCGGCTCACCGCAACCTCCGCCTCCTGGGTTCAGGCAATTCTCCTGCCTCAGCCTCCTGAGTAGCTGGGATTACAGGCACGCACCACCATGCCCAGCTAATTTTTTTGTATTTTTAGTAGAGACGGGGTTTCACCATGTTGACCAGGATGGTCTCGATCTCTTGACCTCGTGATCCACCCGCCTCGGCCTCCCAAAGTGCTGGGATTACAGGCTTGAGCCACCGCGCCCGGCCTGAGATGATCAGTTTTTATTTGTAACTAATATTCTGTTAAGAAATGGTGTAATGTCTACTTTTTTAACTGGAGGAGGCATTTATTATTTTTTTTGAAGTTAACATTGATTAATTCAACAAATATCTATGAGATGTCAAGCCCTGGAATAGGACTCGGAAATCAACAGAGCGCCAAGTCGGAGACTAACTCTGGAGTAAGGGGAGTGGGAAGAGCTGTTATTTTAATTGAAACCTGAAGTCTGAGAGGGAGCCAGCAGGCAAGGAGCCAGGGGAGCCACAATGCGGGCCAGCAGGAATGGTCCGAGCAAAGGCCCTCGGTGGGGAAAGGGCTCTGTGCCTCATAAGGACCAAATGAGGCCACTTAGGGCTGAAGATTTGTGAATTAGAAGCAGAGTGAATTGGTTCACCAACATACTATGTTCACAAAGGGCTGAATATGGTTTCTGCCTCTGAGTCTTCTATTTAAATCAAATGAGCTGTGCAGTCTCCAGATGTTGCTGAATGAAAACTTTACATGATGGGGTGAGAGGTAATCTTTGTGTGCAGCTTGCCCTTAACTGAATTTAATGCTACATGTCTGTGTACATTGAAGGCCAGAAGAGCCTCTATCTTGAACAACATGACTACTGACTCTTCTATTTGGCTTTAATGGTAAAAGAATTGTGTTGTTCTCTATGGCAAATGGATTTACATGCATTTACAGGCATATATGGAAAAGACAACTTCATCTTTTCTAAAATAATTTTTTTTTGGAAATAAAAACCAAAGACAAAATATTAAAGATAGCTCAATCTTTCCTATTCTGTTTGTCCCCATGGAGCTGCTACTGTACTTGTGATTCTTGAAGTGTAAAAATCAAACAGAAAATTGGCTTGGTGAGAAAGAAGACTTGATGTGCAGGGTTAATCTATGTGTCTCCTTCAGGTCTCTGTGAGCAAACAACCCTTAATGCAATGAAAATGGCATCCTTCAGGGAAAACAGATTATCTTGTCTGATAGGTTACCTCTTCTCATTACATTAATGGTACTCTGATATCACATTTTAAACAATGTTTTTAATTTAAAAGAAAAAGTCCCAAGAGAAGGCTTAGACTGAAAAATAGAGCCTGATAATACTTGAAAATATGCAATCCAGGAACCTTCTAAAATCCTCTCAACAATGCAATGGGAGGTGCTCACTGTTAAGGTCAAATTGGGTACAAGTTTAATGAGAGGAACGATTCAGTCCCTTTCTCTTTCTTTTTTGTTCTAAAAGAGCTGCTTGTTTTAACAAGTTTAAGTGGGATCTCTAAGAAATTTCTTAGAAAGGGCTAGGCACGATGGTTCATGCCTGTAATCCCAGCACTTTGGAAGGCTGAGGCGTGCAGATGGTTTGAGCCCAAGAGTTTGAGACCAGCTTGGGCAGCATGGTGAAACCCTGTCTCTATAAAAAATGCCAAACATTTGCTGGGTGTGGTGGCATGCGCCTGTAGTCCCAGGTCCTTGGGAGGCTGAGGTGGGAGGATCACCTTAGCCCTGGAGGATGAGACTGCAGCGAGCCAGGATTGCACTCCACTGCACTCCAGCCTGGGTGACAGTGAGAGACCCTGCGTTTAAAAAAAAAAAAAGAAAAAAGAAAGGAAAAGAAAAAAATTTTCTTGGAAAGAAGGGGAGTGAATATTAAAGGGATCTGAAGTGCCACCCAGCTGTGGATAAAGTGTTTCTTTTAAAACAGAACAACACACCTGTAATACCTTACACAGACTGCGGGAAACCTAGGAGCGGCTTTCTAGCTCACCTCTCGGGCTAGATCGAATAAAGACTACAGCAGCCCTCTTATCCATGGGGAGTACATTCCAAGCTCCCCCGTGGATGCCCGAAACTGAATAGTACTGAACTGTATTACAGTCTACTAGGATTTTTTTATCTGATAACCAAGGGGGCTACTAAGTGACTAAACAAAGGGTGGTGTAGACAGCATGAATATGCTGAACGAAGGGATGATTTTCATCTCAAGTGGGCTGGAGCGGGATGGTATGAGATTTTATCATGCTACTCAGAATGATGCACAATTTAAAACATTAATTATTTCTGGAATTTTTCCACTTAATATTTTTGGACAGCCATTGGCTAACACCCCAGAAAGTGAAACTGTATATCTACTGTATTGGGATGAAGATGGAGGGGAAGAAATTGCATTATTCATCAAATGGCTTTTTAAAACATTTTTGGGGCCAGGCACGGTGGCTCATGCCTGTCATCCCAGCACTTTGGGAGG